GCTCCTGGCTTCAGATTGGTGCAGTTCCAGCCATTGCAGCCATTTGGGGAGTGAACTGACAGATGGAAGACCTTTCTCTCTGTCTTTCCTTCTCACTGTCTATAACTCTATCTCTCAAATAAATAAAATCTTAATAAAAAATATATCTGCACTCCCTTTTTCATAATAGTACTATTCACAACAGGCAAGCAGTAGAGGCAACCCACAAGCCCATCAACAGATGAATGGATGAACCAAATGAGATTTATACATACAATGGAATATCATTCAGCCTTAAAAAGGAAGGAAATTCTTTCACATGTTATAACATGGATGAAACTTGAGGACATTATACTAGGTGAGCAAACCCAGTTATAAAAAGAAAGACACTGTATGATTCCCCTTACATGAGGTACTTAAAATCCTAGAGACAGAAAAGTAGAACTGTGGTTGTTTTTTATTGGGTACGGAATTTCAGATTAGCAAAATGAAAAATTCTAGAAATCTGTTTTACAACATTGCAAATATATGTAACTACTGAAATGTATGCTCAAAATGATTAAAACAGTAAATTTTATGTCATGTGTCTTTTACCACAATAAAGAAAGGAAACAAAAGGAAAAGCAATGAAAATATGGGGCTGGCATTGTGCTGCAGGTTAAGCCACCAACTGCAACACCAGCTTCCCAAACTTAGAGTGCATATTTGAGTCCTGCCTTCTCCCCTTCCCATCCAGCTCCCTGCAAATGTGCCTGGGAAAGCAGTGGAGAATGGCTTAAGTATTTGGAGCCCTGCCACCCACGTGGGGAGACCCTGATGGAGTACCTGGTTCCTGCTGGTTCCTGACTTTGACCTGGGCCCACCCTGGCTGTTTAAAGACCTTTCTATTTCTTTGTCTCTCTGTAAATAAGTCTTAAAAAAAAAAAAACTCAGGATAATATGGTGTTTCTTTAACGACCGCCACCATGAGGGAGGTGCCAGTGAAGCAATAAAAATGAAGGTTGCAGTATAGAGCAGGTGTTGTCTGCAATCATTTGACCTCTGAAAGAAGAAATGCTAAAATCTGTGTCAAGTTAATCCAAGGAAAAACCTTTTCTGCATTCACATCACACTGGCACTACCACTTCTCACCTTCATCTGTAGTGGCTGCCTTTGAGCTGCTACCATGCAACGGGGAATAAACAACTGAAATTGTACACGGTCTAGTTTCAAAGACCAAGCCTTGGCTAAGCATGGGCTGCACTGAATCCAAAATAACTCATGTGCAAGTACATTCTCAGTGGCACCAAGGAAGTTTTTAAAATTGGGTTACAGAAGTGTCCAGGACAAAATATACCAGCAGCCGAGTCACTGAACGATAGCTGAGATGGCATCCTGGGACCCTGCAGACCCTTAATTTCTGAGGCTGTAGAGAAACAAGCTCAGCAATGCCATGCATCCATCTACTGAGAACCAGAGTCACACTCAGTGGGTGACACTTTTCAGAACAACTTGTAAGAAGTTAATGAGAGCAGGTCGACCTTGACCAAACTCCCACAGGACAGATTCCCTGAAATGCTTCACTGACATGGCAGCCCCCTGCATCCTTCCAGCCTCTGTGGGATTCCCACGGCTGTCAGTCGGGCATCACTCATTTCCCACCTTGGACAAGTGACTATTTGCCAAGCAGTTCATTTCTACTCCGGTCATGATGAAGAAGCCATGCCATGGCTTGTGGGCTTTATAGATGGATCTTATCTGCAGTGTGATTCTTGTCTACCTCTGCATTTCATACACCTCGAGGAGAAAACCAACTCAGCTCTGACATCATACTTGGACTTAGGAATTAGGGCATCTGACGGATAATATGTAGGTAGAGAAGAGTGACAAAGATCCTAAAGGCAAGAACAAGCCCAGCATGTTCTAGGAACAGCAAAGAGGCCAGTGGGAACAGAGCGAAGCGGGTACAGGGAAGAACAATTGGAAATGAGGTGAAGGAAGAAACCAGGGGACCGGTCCGTGTAGGACCTCTGTCTGCAAGGTCAGCTGTTGCAGGGTTTTAAATAAACTCCTAGCTGCTGTGGAAAGTACACAGCATATGCCTACCACAAGGAAGATTCTAAGTCACACTGTCTCCCATATTTTGCAGGTGGAACAGGTTATCTGGAATGGTTTATGGTGGGGGTGGGGGGGAGAAGTTACGCTTTGACATCCAAGGTCAATTCATCTGCAGGTTGGCAGCTGCCATCACCTAAAGTCACGAAAGGAGACTGGGCTGCAGGAAGGATTTAGTCTCTCGTCGGCTTCCTCCTCACACCCCCAGCTCCGGTAAATTACTTCCAAATTCCTATAAGAAACTTCCTCTTAAGAGCTTTACCATATATTCAACATTTCAAAAAGATGATCTGCTCCACTTTCACCTAAAACCAGCTACCCACCAAAATGATACCTTTGATTAGAACTCTATAATTGGGGCCGGAGCTGTGGCACAGCGGGTTAACGCCCTGGCCTGGGATGCCGGCATCCCATATGGGCTCTGGTTCCAGACCTGGCAGCTGCACTTCCGATTCAGCTCTCTGCTGTGGCCTGGGAAAGCAGTAGAAGATGACCCAAGTCCTTGTGCCCCTGCACCCACATGGGAGACCCGGAAGCAGCTCCTGGCTTCTGATCGGTGCATCTCCAGCCATTGCGGCCAACTGGGGAGTGAACCAGAGGATGGAGGACCTCTCTCTCTCTCTGCCTCTCCTCACTCTGTGTAACTCTGACTTTCAAATAAATAAATAAATCTTTTAAAAAAAAAGAACTCTATAATTGCCTTGTTGTGGCCTTCAGGATCTTGCAGCAACCAGGTGTATTAAAGGCATGGAAAACTTTACTGCCCTCTGATCAAGACCTCTGGGTCAGAAGAGCGCTCGTTGCAAGCCCCAGATGCTCACCACCTGGCTTCATTTGGGCAGAATTATGGAGTCAAGGCATGCCACCACTGAAGTCAGTATTGTAGCCTTGATCTGGTTAAAACATCCCTTTACAAGAAAAGACATAGGCCTAGAATGGCATCGACAGCTGTGGGCTACGCCAGACTTTAATAATGAGCCAAAGGCTGAAAATGGTTTTCTGGATCTTGTTTACTTCCCTGACATCACCCCCTTGCCTGGTTCACATCAGAACAGTCCCTGAGACTGGCTGCCATCATCACCTTGGTCCCCACCACACTGCCGAGAATATCCTTCCTGTTGCTGGCTACTGATTCTTCCAGAGAGGCTATGGGAGGACATGGCCTGGCCTGGGTGTGCCGGCTCTGCATTCGCATCCTGACCACATCTACCAGCTGAGAGGACTTCAGCAAGTTTCCAAGTTGTGTTCTACCTTAGTGTCTGCATATGGAAAAAAAAATGCCTACCGTCTAGAATAGAAGTAGAATAAGGCATGTTAGATACTTAGTGCCAAGCCCAGCACAAAATGACAGATCAAGGAGTGTGATATATTACGTTGCTACAGATGTCCGTTGTGTAAAATCTAATGGTCATGCTGTGGCCTTCAGGACCTGGCAGCCACCACGTCTGTTACAGGCACGGACACTTTCACTGCCCTCCGATCGAGACCTCTGGTCAGGAGGGCTCTCTGTGGCCGCAGCCATGTCGCTCCCGTTCCCACCTCTGAATTTTAGTCTGTGCACGCCATTTCTCCTCTCCCTGTCTACCAGAATCTCCTGCACATCCTTCAAAGCTCCAGCTAAGGTTTAGCACTTCATGAACTCTTCCCTGACAAATGCTAGCGCCATCAGTATTTCTTCTCCTCAGCACTACAGTGACTGAGGAGTGACTGCTTCCTTAAGGAAGGGGTGAGGGAGTTCAGTTCAAAGAATGGGCTCTAGAGCAGTCTGCCCTGTCTCTCTCAGCTTCAGTCTCCCCTCCATCAAATGTAGCTATTATGAAGTTGTTTTTTTTTTTAAGGAAGTCTGGATACATAAACACCTGATGTTTGTTAATCATTATTAATGTTCTTATTATCATATATTTCTACCTTTATGAACCTGCATTTTCTTCCGCCAGGTTGTTCTGTCCATGTGCACTATAATCCCAGAATAGTCCCAGAATAGTGTTCAGCAATGATAGGATGTAAGAAGACTGGAGGTGCAGCTCCAAGCCACCCAAGGGGGTTACACTAATACTCTCCATGCGATCTGGATGGCTCCTGGGTCTTTTGTCGCCCCCTTCCCTTCTGGTTTCCTAGTGAGTAAGATACTACTACTAACCTGTTACATGGAGGCAACATGGAGAAATCCAGACCAAGAAGCAGAAAAAAACAGGGATTTGTGTCTCAGCATCCCAAGTGCAAAGGTTAGTCAGTTGGTGGTCTGTCTACCTTTGTATGTATCTGTATATCTATCTTAGCTCGGGAAAAGTCACGTAAGCTCACCAAACCTCTCTGTTCCTGTGTCTGCAAAGGGAGGATGACCTACCTTCTTCACAGGATGGCAGTGAGGCTCCAAAATGCGTAAGGAAGAGCTCTGCACACGGTCAAGAGTTATCCATATGCAAGGCACAGTCACTTAGGCATCATCACACAAGAAACCACCATACTGATCAAAACACAGCAGCACAGGGGTGGGTGCTAAGGTACATCCCCGTTAAGCCACCAACGGGGATGCCTGCATCCTGCATCGGAATGCCTGGGATCCAGTCCCATCTCTACTTCTGATCCAGCTTCCTGCTAATGTGCCTGGGAGGCAGATGATGGCCCAAATGCTTGGGTTCCTGCCAGCCACAGGGGAGACACAGATGGAGTTCTAGATTCCAGGCTTCTGCCTGGTCCAGCACCAGCTGTTGCAAGCATTTGAAATACTTCACTTCCCGTGCCTTTCTACTCAAATACTTAAAAAAAAAAAGAAGAAGAAGAAGAAGAAGAAGAAGAAGAAGAAGAAGCAGCAGCAGCAGCAGCAGCAGCAGCAGCAGCAGCACATTTTATAATGGAGCAGAGAAGGATTGACTTATTACTTTCAAACATCAGGAAAGAAAGCATTCAGGGTAAGACCACCTTACCTCTATTTTTGCCCATACGGCTTCGTAGTTGTCTTGGTGTTGAATATCTTGCATTAGTTTCTGAATTAAAGCAGCTTTTGCAGCAGAATGGCTCTCGTTTTTCTCGGAGGAGGAGGCTGTCTCTGACTTCCTGTCAGTGTAGTTTTTCGAGCCAGAGAGAGGCATGCACAACTCCTCATCGGAAAGAATGTCACTCAGGGGCCCAGATTCAATGCTCTCTCCCAATGAGGAGGCTAGGTCACTGGATGAGCTCGTGGACACCCTGCCCAGCCTTGTGTGTTTCTTCTTGACATGGTACGTCGGATAGATCTCAGAGTCTGAATTCATTTCAGACAATTCCCAGTCATCGATATCCTGAATGGTCTCTCCTCTGGGTTTCTGAGGCAGAAGCTTTGTTAGGTTTTCCAACTTGAGAGCTAATACTTCCGTCTGCTTAAGGTGGGAGGGCAGTGCTAGGTATTCATCGGAGCCATACCAGGCCTCCACGACCTGACCGTTCCTGGTGACGTGACTTGGGGAAGAGGAGTAATCTTTTTTGCTTCCGTGTTTTGTGAGCAGGGGTGCGGGAGACGAGCTGTCTGAGCCGATGAGGGAGTCGCTGCTCTGAGTGAATGGGGGTGAGTGGGATGTCTCTGACTGCACTGGCAGCTTGGCTCTCCGGCTTCTCTGGTTACCCAGCTCCAGGGAGGAGGTCGAAGCTGAATCTGTTTCTGGTCCCTCTGGGGCCTTGGAAGTACCAGGAGGCAGCCCGTTGGGTACCACTGAGCTCTTTGTGTGTTCAGCTTGCTTGCCCGAACCAGCTGCCCGCTTGGGTGTTCGGCACAGAGGCGCCTCTTCTGAGGTCTTGTGTAGCTTTTTAAGCGGAAGTTTCTCTTTGTGGCAGTCACTGAGCCTGCCCAGGCTGGAAGAGATTTCTTTAATATGACTTTGGACTGTGTTTTCCATGTTCCCATCCTCCACCTTGTGCAAACACTCGTAGGACTGACTGGCAGCGGAAGGGCTGTTGGAGTAGGAAGACCGTAACACCAGGCAAAGCTTGGATCTGTCGGGCGGGTCCACCAGCGAGGGGGTGCTTCTGCTCATCTCGGGCTTCAGATCAGCCATCTGCTTCTTTCTGTCACTGCCTTTCAGACTGTTCTTAAAATGGTCCTCCTTCAGGAAAAGCCCTCTTTTTGGCAATGTGGGCTGTGTGGGAGAATCCTCATTATAGTCAGAGCAATCTCGGATGGATCGCTTTGGGGTGGCATTCTCGCCAAGGGGCTGTTGGTTCTTTGCACCAGGCTGGGAGGAGGAAGTGGACTCTTGCTTCGCAGCCTCCGGAGGAGGAGATTGGACAGCACCCGTCAGAGCATGAACCGAGGCCGCCACGCCCGATGTCGGGCCTGGCTGCTCTTCGGCTGCAGAAGCGCCGTCTTCCTCGCGTCCACCCTGGTTGTCCGCCGGAAGAGATACCTGGGGCGCCTCCTCACTAACTGCTTCACTGCCGTCGGCAGAGATGGTGTCAGGAACCACTGTAAGTAACCCAACACTTCGGATAAGCTCCGGGAACTCCTTTTCCATCTCACTGTAGCTCCAAGAGTCAAAGGGTTTGGCCTTGACCTGGGTGGAGGCCATGTCATTCAGGCCTCCGAGCAGATCCTCACTTGGACTGTAGTCGGACAGCTCGAAGGCAGTGATCCCACAATCCAGAGACAAGTAATTCTGAGAACATTTGATGGTTAACTGTCCTGAGTCATCCACTTCCGTTAGAGAGTCAAGCCGGCCCTGAAACAGACAGTGGCAATGGTTTCAGTAAATGCAACATCAATACCACTCAACTGTGCTCCAGGTGAAATCCCAGCACGGGCTTCTATAAAGGTCAGAAATGCATCAGCCTCAATTGCTTCTGGTTTGACATATAGAAAGGCATAATAGTCAATTACCTCATTGCTTTATATAGACGATTCCAAAGATTGTTCTTTAATCTACACCGTAGAACCTTAATGGAAATGATCAAGGGCAAGTCAAAAATGTCCGTTGCTATCTCAGTTTTCTATTTTAAAATAGTGTACTGTTCATTTCAAAAGCATTTCTGAAATGAAGCCTTAAGTAACAAAATATCTGGAAACATAGTAATTATAAAATCCGTATGATCACTATCACTCCAGTACCTTCGACACTGGCTAGCTCATAACAGATGTTCAATAAATACTTTTAGTGAAATAACTGATTATATAGAATCAATCATTTTACATATGTATTCAGCAATCACAGGGATGTAAAATATTAAATTTGCACATATATAACAGACATCATTCCAGGCCAATTTTTTTACACCATCCTTTTGAAGGCATCCACAGGCAATACCACAGAAAATGAAAGAATGTCAAAGCTTTATCATCTTAGCCCGTCTCCTCCCTATATATGCAATCCTCCTCTCCCTCCACCTCGTTTGTTATTTATAATTCTAGGTCAGTTTATTTGACTTGAAATCCCTCATACTAAATAATTAAGTATTTTAAACTTATAAATATTTCACTGCAGGATTAAGGCTTTTGTCTCATCACTGATGCTGTTTCTGATATCACTCAACAAACACAGATTTTTTTTTCATTTTTATTTTATTTTTTTGACAGGCAGAGTTAGTGAGAGAGAGACAGAGACAAAGGTCTTCCTTCCGTTGGTTCACCCCCAAATGGCCGCCACGGCTGGTGTGCTGCGCCAATCCGAAGCCAGGAGCCAGGTGCTTCCTCCTGGTCTCCCATGTGGGTACAGGGCCCAAGCACTTGGGCCATCCTCCACTGCCTTCCTGGGCCACAGCAGAGAGCTGGACTGGACGAGGAGCAACCGGGACAGAATCCGGCGCCCTGACAGGGACTAGAACCCGGGGTGCCAGCGCCACAGGTAGAGGATTAGCCTAGTGAGCCGCGGTGCTGGCTAACAAACACAGATTTTTGATTGATGATTTGGAAGAAGGACCCTGGAATACAGTTACGCTTAACACAATGCACAGGCAGCCTGCTCTAAACTTATTCTTGTTAAACTGATATGTCTCCTCTTCTGTTCCAAACTGCCACTAGGGTGACTTAAAAATTGCAAAGCTGTTGCTGTTACCTCTCTGCTTTAAGTCCTTGACTAACATCCTGAGGCTCTGAGGTTAAAAACAAAACCCTCCCAAGGCCAAGCATCAAGAGGCTTCTCTCATACCACTACCCACTTGCTGGTTGCACCCAACCACGGTGTCATCCAGCGTAACACGTTCCCTCCAGCCTCCTGCTTTTCTGCTCCTTGGCACACATATTGTTTCTGCTATGTAGAAAGTTTACATGTATACCCTTTAACTAGTTCATTCACCTTCATCCCTTAGATCTCAGCTCAAGCTCACTTCTTCCAGATGCCAGTTACTTTCCTAAGTCAGAGTTCTAAGCTCTCAAATGTATTTTAATATTTGACTAATTTGTTTCTACCATTAGTTTGGGAGAATATAAATCATACAGTAAATGGCTGACTCATCAAGGTACCTGCAGTACTTAGCATGGTGATTGACATAAAATCAGTACTCAAAGATATATCTGTTGAATAAATGAATGATGACTTTTTGGAATACCTCTTTATACCCTTATTTAATTTCTTCCTCTGATTATGACTCTGGCTCTAGCACTAAGTAGGTGTGTGATCATAATCTAGTATCATGATGTCATAAGCCATTTCCTCCATCTGTGTGTAGAAAGGAAATGATGCACCATGTCACAGGGGTGTTGAGAGGTTTAAAGGATATGACAATTGGAAGACATACTCTGGTATGAGGATAAGTGCTCAATGAATGTTCACTCCTATCACTGTTGTTTTCAGTAATAAAGTATACGAATGAGGAACCTTTCACTCAGATGAGAATTACCCCAAATGCTGAAATACACTACAAAATATGACACACTACACAATACTAACTGCTGATCTCAACAAAAATTATCTAAATGGAATTGTGCGACTTTTGTGCTTCCTACTGGACTAAGTTCTTTAAACAACGAAGCCAGAAGCCAAAATGAGGGAATGAGTCAGCCAAACTAAAGTCATATTAGGAGAATGACAGTGAGATCCCAATCTAAAAGCAGGCTGTTATGTTTTAAAATCTTTTAATTTAATGATCCATTACTCAGAATTCACTCTACAGAAATAGCATTATAAACGATGGTAAGTTCCAAAGCCATCCTTGAATACCTAGTTAAATTACCAACTAGTTGAAATTTGCAACATCATTTTCTATTATTATCAGTTACTGCACTGTAATATGAAGTATAAAGAGTCATTAAAGAAAAGTGTTTCTATGATGAGTAGAGAAAAAGAAATTTGAGAATTCATATCAAAATCAGACATCCCTGAAAGTATCCCGCCTTTGGACCAACAGAAAACACCAGGTACTGGGAGTGTATCTGATCCCTATTTTTAGTGACCCGATCACACTGACACCAGGGATACTGTCTGTCTTGCTTGAGAACAATAGGCACTGAATAAATGTTTGATAAATATATTTGTTATATGAATACATGAATACATCTAAGAAAACAGAAATACAGCTGCTTTTTCCTAAGTCTTTAGGGATCTCTAGGTAGTTACCGATTTGCAAAAGAAAATAACATACTCAAAAATACATAACGCTCCACACACAGCCGCTTCTCATCCTGTACCCAGCCAGGCCAACTATCTCAGCTGGTGAGGTAGCTGAGTGATTATCACTCATGGGTAACTATTTTTAATCAGACTACATTTTTTTGATGTGAAAAAAAAAATCCCTGAAAGCAAAACAAAACAAACAAAAGAGCCAACCCAAACAACATATACTCTTTCACCGTACCAGGCAAACTTAAGAAGTGAGAGTTATCTAAATTTTCCAACAGATGAGTAGTGTATTTCATTTTTTAAAATATTGCTTAGTAATACCAATATTTAAAATTTAGTCCCATAGCTTCCTTCCACACCACCTTCCCAGATAGTTTTCTAATGTGTTAGGTAATTAAATCTCAAGTATATATGGGATTAGGAAATGAGAGTATGCCGGTTTTATTGCCTTTTGATGTAAGAAATGGCACATTTAATTGTGTAGTACAAATAGCTGTGTCAAGGCTGCCTAGCAATGTCTCCACTCAAATATACCTTCATTTAATATACTACATAACAGCTTTTCAGATGCAGGTTACATTTTATGCAGGTAGTAGTGTATTTATTTTATTGCTGGCTTCAATCTTGTCTTCTCCTGTCTCTTTTTTTTTCCAATTTGAAGCAAGATGTTTTCCTTTGTTCCTTAAGCATAATTAAATTAGCTTAAGCCTCGTTCCAAATGCCTTCTTAGATCTTTTTTCTTAATTATATTTTGCCACCAATTGAACATGAGCTTTAATACTCATAATTTAGATGTTTTAAGATCTCCCTATTCAAATGTCCCCAAGAGTACATATCAGTGTCTACTACTACCTTAAAGTCAGTTGTGCATGCTAATTTAATGTCCTTCCTAAGAACAGAGTTGGAAATGGAATTTCACTGATTTAATTGTGGGTAGAGTAAAACATTTCATCCGCCTGTTTCTCCTTCCTCCCTGATCTCACTGTAGGTTGTCTGTTATGCTTTAATTCCTAACATATAAATCCACAGACCTCTTAACTGCATATGAGGGTTGCCAAAATCCTCAATCACAAGGACTATACTCTCAAATTCTTTTCAGCTCTACTGTATTTGGATTCTACTGGCTCTGAATGCATTCTAGAGGGCAGCAGTAGAATGAGAAAAGCAACTATGACAGGACAATGTGAAGCAAAGCAGAATATCATTTCTGAGGACAAGGGGAAAATACACATAAATCTTTAAATATTTATACTATATTAATATTTGCTAAGAATTTCCATTTTCTATAGGCTGAAATTATGTCAGGCAATTAACCTTCATGATTAATTTCCAGCCCACCAACCTGTTTTCTCTCTCCTACACCCAAAACAGTGATGATCAGTATTATTTGATTTAACACATCATTTATCCATAATACAAACTAGGTGCTGTGGCAGATATAGAGAGAAGATAATCTGCAGCCAACCTTACTGTCGCTCAAAATTTACTACGTACTTTGTCTTGTTATAAATTGGCCCATGGTAAGTGTTGGTGAAGGAACACAGAAAGTGCAGTGTTGTGAGGGTTCTAGAAGGACCACCGCATCTCCAGCAAAAGATATCAGTTAGGCATCCCCACATGGTAAGCTCTCAATCAGTGTTGACTGCTGTGCTGATGTCATTGAAGAGTTGTCCACACAAGGCCAGTGTTGTGGCATAACGGGTAAAGCTGCTGCCTGCAGTGCTGACATCCCATGTGGGTGTTGGTTTGAGTCCTGGCTGCTCCATTTCCTATCCAGCTCTCTGCTATAGCCTGGGAAAGCAGTAGAAGATGGCCCAAGTCCTTGGGCTCCTGCACCCACATAGGAGACCTGGAAGAAGCTCCTGGCTTCGGATCGGCGCAGCTCCAGCCATTGCAGCCAACTGGGGAGTGAATCAGCAGATGGAAGACCTCTCTCTCTCTCTCTCTCTCTCTCTCTCTCTCTCTGTGTGTGTGTAACTCTGACTTTCAAATAAATAAATCAATCTTAAAAAAAAGAGTTGCCGCCACCTGTGTGACAATGCCACTATCTCAGTGCTCTCATCTGGACAGAGGGTTGTGAGACTAACACCTGTAGAGGGAGGATAACAACCTCTGCCACGCGTACTGTCCAGACTGTGCAGCTCAAACAACATTACAAAGGGATGCTCAACACATGGTATTCATCTTGTAACACCTGTTGCTTATATGTCATAGGCACGGAATAAATATTTATGGAAGCTAAAAAGGAAGGGAAGAAAGTGATGGACAAGAGAATTATTACTAAAATATCAATTAACTGGTTTTGTTTTGTTTGTTCCTAGATGTATTTCCTTAAGTATTCAAACTTAAACTCTCTCAAAATTATTTTTCCATCTATAAAATTAAATTATTTTGAACATATTTTGTCCTCTTTACTAAATAAAATGTGCACAGTGCTTATCACAATGTCTAGAATTAGAAATTTTAAGTTCAACACGTTTTGCACAATTTTGTACTGTGCCTTTAAGGTTTTTTGTATTTTTATTTTCACTATTGATTTCAGAGACAGAGAACTCTCTCATCTTGTGATTCATTGTCCAAATTCCTGCAGCAGCCAAGGCTAGGCCAGGCTGAAACCAAGAGCTGGGAACTTAGTCTGTGTCTGCCATGTGCTTGACAAGGACTGCAACAACTTGAGAGATAACTTTCTGTTTCCCAGGGTGCACAGGGACAGGAGGCCAGAATCAGGATCAGGGTCGTGACCCACACTGAGGCACTTCAACACGGGATGCGGGTGTCCCAACTGGCATTTTAACCACTAAGCCAAAAGTCGTCTTTTTAAAGTGTTTTATTTGGCTGGTGATTTTAGTCTAGTGAAGTATTTGTCAATTTGTTCACAAGATACGGCATTTTCCAAATTTAAATGAAGAATAAAATTCATATAGTTGGTTTAAGGAAAGAATTTGCCACTTTCTGAAGCCAAACTTAACACTTTGATACATGGCTCTGAAATTCAACTCACTCCCAAAAAGAGAAAAATGAGTCCCTCTTCCTGAAATGACATCAACAACTCCAATTGACAGCACTTTTTATTGTATTTCTCTCTTCACTGCACAATCTTTCAAGCTGAATTTATTCTGATAAAACTGAGAATTTTATTCTAATTCCTTTCCTGCTTTCCACAATTCCAGCGTACTGGAAGAAACAAATGAAACTAAGCAGTCTTTCCAGTGATCTCATGGAATTGCAATAGAAGCATAAACAAATGGGATCGGAAATCTAGTTTCAGGAAGGATGGTAATGAACGCATAACTTCAATTCATAGAAAAACAGCCACAACGTAGATGGCTGAAAATCCACTCCCTATCCCTCACACAACATATTTTTGCATCACTACAACAGGACTGACATCAAACAGAAAAAATGCAGTAAATTGCTTGTAGTAAGCTCATAAATAATTTGCAAGTTTACGTTGTGAGCACCAGAATAGATGTTACTTAGGAAAAACTCACAACATAACTGAGAAAACAGTGGCCAGTAACAAGTAGTCTCAACAGCTTTTCATCAATTACAGAGCTACCGCTTCACAAATGACACAGGTGCAAATAAGTGCATGATGAATGTAGTCCATGAAACAATTACACATTGATAACAATAAACCCCAGAGTGCTGCCATGTGCCCAGCTCTGACAACAAAGAGTCAGTTATCTACAAATGTTTATTGAATGAATGAATAAGAATGTTAAATAAGCTGCTTTGAATCAATGACTTCTAATGCCCCCTCCAGCAGTAGAAAGTGGGCAGATCTAATGACACATCAGTATTTATTTTTTATTTTTTATTTTTGACAGGCAGAGTGGACAATGAGAGAGAGAAACAGAGAGAAAGGTCTTCCTTTGCCATTGGTTCACCCTCCAATGGCCGCCCCAGCCGGCGCACCGCGCTGATCCGATGGCAGGAGCCAGGTGCTTCTCCTGGTCTCCCATGGGGTGCAGGGCCCAAGCACTTGGGCCATCCTCCACTGCACTCCCTGGCCACAGCAGAGAGCTGGCCTGGAAGAGGGGCAACCAGGACAGAATCCGGCGCCCCGACCGGAACTATAGTAAAGCGGTGTGCCGGCGCTGCAAGGCGGAGGATTAGCCTAGTGAGCTGCGACGCCGGCCAGACACATCAGTATTGAACATGGGACAGAGCTACTGAACATGAAAGCAGCATTGGGAGTGGGGGCGGGGAAGGGAGGCAAAAGGGATGACAGGTAGGCATCTAGAGAAAGCTCTCATCAGAGGTTAGACAGATCTTCCTCATCTCCGATCTCCATTAGCACACAGCTTCACAATTAGCAGGTGCGGGGCACAGTTCATCAGCTTGAGATTCTTTGTGGCAGCCCACCACCAGGTGACAAGCTGGAGCTCCGTAGGGCCTAGCTTGGGAGGAGTGGCATCTGGGAGGCAACACAGAGCCACATGTTTCTCCTATGGTGGCAGTATGCAGTCTATGTCATCCTTCCCACAGCAAGGATTTCAGAGAGAGCTAGCTAACCTAACTGCAGAGAGAAACCTGGTAGATTTTGATTCCCGCAGACTTTTAGGCCCTGCAGGGAGTTTGCCACAAGAGCAGCTCCATTTTGAGTAAACAGAAGTCAACAAGAATGAATTATTTATGAGAATGGATATAGATTTGTTTTTGTGTTGTTGATAATGTTGGAGCCACTGAAACATTAATAACTTAGTGAATTATGCAACACACATTATAGGGCCTTTTAATCTTATGCATTTATACAAGTGCCTTATAAACTAGTAAAACGGATATTTCCACAAAATTGTTTTGACACTGAGTTAAGAGCCAAAGGACTTAGTACACACACAATGTATCTCTATATGTTTTAATCTACAACTACTACTTAATCTACTTAGCACAATGCTCTTTTATACAAATATATGACAATTTAACTTAATAATGGGAGATTGTGTGGATTCAAATCTACAGTGTCTATTACTAAATTATCTATTAAGGATATAATAGGAATGTCAGTGCTGTGGCACAGCAGGTTAAGCTGCTGCCCATAATGCCAGCATCCCATTTGGGTGATGGTTCAAGTCTCTACTACTCTATTTTCAATCAAGTTCCCTGCTAATGTGTCCAGGAAAGCAGCAGAAGATGGCCCAAGTGCTTGGGCCCCTGAACTCATGTGGGAGACCCAGATGAAGTTCCTGGTTTTGGCATGGCTTAGCTCTATACGTTGTGGCCATTTGGGGAGTGAACCAGCAGATGGAAGATCTATCTCTCTATCTCATTCTCTCTCTCTCTATAACTGTGCCTTTCAAATAAATAAAATAATTTTTTTAAAAAAGGAATAACAACCAGGGATCCTTGTTTGGCCTGATAATTGACACCCACATCCCATTTTGGAACTCCTGAGTTCGGGTCCCAGCTTTGCTTTCAAGAGCAGCTTCCTGCCAGTGAAGAGCTGGGGAGGTAGTAGGCAGTGGCTCAAGTAGTAGAGTCCCTGCCATCACATGGGAGACCTGGATTGGGTTCCCAGCTCCTAGCTTTGTCCTGGCCTGGCCTCAGCCATGGCAAGTGAGTGGGAACTCTATCTATCTTTGTCTCTTTGCCTCTCAAATAAATAAAATGACTAAAGAGAATTTTTTAAAAAATAACAGACTCATAAAAGTACTATTAACATGAATAAGAAACATCAAATATATTGATGTATAACATTCAAATGTCCGTGTGATTCACTGAATCTAGTGATTTTTCTACACTTGATTTTAGTCAGAAAATCAAGAAGCGATGAGAGTGATTTTCCTAAAGCATGAATGCAACAATGGCAGTCCCCTGGATAACACATTATTTTTTAAAGACTTATTTATTTGAAAGGCAGAGCTACAGGGCCAGCACTGTGTCGCAGCAGGTTAAGCCACCAGCTGCAGCACTGGCAACCCATATGGGTACTGAACTGAGTCTCAGCTGCTCCACTTCCAATCCAGCTCCCTGCCTCTCCCACCATCACTGTAATTATGCCTTGCAAATAAATAAATAAATCTTTTAAAAAAAAATAAAGAAGGCAGAGCTACACAGAAAGGGGAAGAGACAGAGATACTGTGCATCCATTGGTTTACTCCCTAGATAGCCACAACAGCCAGAACTGGGCCAGGCAGAAGCCAGGAGCCTGGGACTCTATCTGTGTCTCCCATATGGGTACAAGGGCCCAAGTACTTAGGTGATATTCCACTACTTTCCCAGGCTCATTAGCAGGAGGCTGGATTGGAAGTTTAACAGCCAAGACTTGAACCAGTACTCATATGGGATACTGAAGTCAAAAGCAACAGCTTAACCTGCTGAGCCATGACACTGGCCCCCAGTGTCTTTAAAATAAGGTCCAATTCTCTCATTATAGCTTCAAAAACGTTTTATCTTCCTGATCTGACCTCCAAATTCCTGTTGGCCCAAATCCTGCCTCTTGGCCTCTTGAGCTTTTTGCTTTCGTCCCATCTGTAGCACCAGAGCTTGCCATCCTCTCACTTAGCTCCGGGGCTTTGATCTTACCACTCCTTTGGTCTAGATCACTGTCTACCTCTGTTCCGCAGTCTAATCCTGCTTCTCCTTCAGCTCAGGTCACACTCACTTCTGGAAAGCCTCCCCTGTCCAAATTAGGAGACCCTTTCTTTGTCCTCCAAAGGCATCCAGTAGGCTTACCACAGCTTGGCCTTAATGTCTGTTCATTTGTCTCCATTCCCCACTAGACTAAAAGTTCCTTGAAGGAAGAGACCATGTTTTGATCATTATATTCTCAGTACCTAGTGCTTGGTACTTCATCAGTAAATATTTGATTAGATAATTGAACAGGAAACAAGAAGCTAGATTAGCACTAAAAACTATGGATAGTATCTGAGCAAAGTATCAGGTGTGAGTTAACTCTGGGTAAAGCCCCATCCACATTACAAGTGCCCTAGCCTCTCTTCCCTATACCAGATTCAAAGTCCAGCTCAGGGTCTGCTTATTTACCCACAAAACATTCCTTTCCCATATCTCTAAACTGAGACTGTTCTCAAACTGTCACACCTGACACGGCATTACTTGACTTCAAAGAGAACACTCACCTCCTTCGTCTCTTCTGAGAAAGCTTGCAGAATGTCCGTCTGCCTGGTGTAGTTGCCATTGGCGTCCTGCAGACCTTGCAGAATGCGCTCTCGCAGAACCAGCACTGAGACTCGGAGCTGGTGCCAGAGCAGTTGCACTGCGTGAATGTCCACAATCACATTGACGGAGTAAGACAGCAGCTTCAAGGAGAACTCTGTTTCCAGGAGGGCATGGATTTGTTCAACATGATCAGAAATATCTTCACAAATGTCCTGCAGTAAGAAAAGCAAAGTATGTGAGGACTATTTGGCTATATCCCGGGGGTGGTACAAAGGGTCACCCTGTCACCCAACACCAATGATTGGGACCAACAGTAGCACATGTTGGAATCTAGCCTTTTAGTTCAGATGCACAACTGTACTTACAGTGCCCTGGCCCTTTAGCACATAAATCTAAGTTGATTTTTCCTAACCACAAAAATCCTACTAACCTTTCAGACACAGACATGAAAGTTCAGCCAAAGTGAGAAGTTCACCTTACCAATCCAATCTGCTCTTTTTCTTACTGTTGGGATTCTGCCAACGGAATCAACCACTGTTCTATTTGCTACCCGTGGATGACACTGAGCATACTATATTTCAGGACGGAAGCAACATCAAGAAAGACTGGCTAGAACATGTGTTTCATAGGAGCTCCCAGCCATCCTCAACAAGTTATGAGGTCTTTGGTCACTCTCCTACAATGGCACAATTTAATATTTAAATTCACAATGGATATCAAAATTTTAAACGTTTTACAAACAGAATCACCCTTAAGAAGCAAAGCCAGAAAAATTCCACAAATTGAAAAAAGTCAAAATTAAATTTTAAGACTCAGACATTTACTAAATCAAAGTTTCCATTCACACATACTGTTTAGTAGGCAGATTTGGTATCTGACATGTTACATGTTCTTAAAAGTTCTCAGATTTCCATTGCACTGTCAGAGACCAACTGTATAAAATAAGTGACATCAATAGTATTGTTTACTTGGACAATTTAAGAGATTATTATGCATCAAGATGATGTTGTCTGTCTAAAGTACACAGTTACTCCTTTTCAACTGTGCATGTATGATTTTTTAAAATGAGACTTTTATCTGCAACTTTAAGGCTAAACTTTTAGGACATTTGAGTTCTAAGCCCTACTATCATTATAAACAATCCTTCTAGTTTTTAGGCTAGAAACATGACCTGATTTCAGGTAATTCAGTTACTTTTTAAAAACTAAAATATATAGCATATTTAACAATGTGCAATAGTGATAGTCCAAAAACCTGTTGATCAATGATGGACAGTTGTGAATTTTGAATATCAATTATTACATAATTCCAATTAATACTCCAATATTGGTTCTTGAAACCTGTAGTACATATTGGTGGTAGAAACTAAAACAGATTAAAAGTTTAAATTACATAGATTTTGGAGCCCTCATTAACCCACGTTCTTCCAAATGTGGCTCATGACCCCACCAAGTCCAAAAGGGATCTGGGCCAAAAATTAAAGTACCCCACTAACAAGTACATGGGAACTAATCACAGCTGGATTAGCTAGTCTCTGCTGGCCTCAGCAAAAAAGAAGAGTCCTCTGGGACCAGCATTGTCGCATGGCAGGTTAGGCCACTGCTTGCGATGCCAGCATCCCATATGGGAACCAGCATTTGAATCCTAGCAGCTCTACCTTCCTGCTAAAGTACCTAGGAAGGCAGCATAAGATGGCCCAGATACTTGGGCCCTTGCTACCCGTGTGGAAGACCTGGATGGAGTTCTTGGCTCCTGGCTTCAGCATGGCCCAGCCCTGGCTGTTGGGGCCATTCGGGGAGTGAACCAGCAGAGGGAAGATCTCTCTCTTGCTCAGAAGAGGAATAACGAAAACAGCAGGCTCTCAATGCTGTCATCAGATATTCCACACTGCCTGGGGGTCTCTGCTTGGAGAATCTACTCTATGCACCCCGCATCTTTTATTCTTGTTATTCTTTACTCTCAACCCAAAGCAAATGCCCTGTATTCTTTGTCTTAGGATGGTCAATTCCATCTTGTACTGTGTCACCGTGGGGAGCTCCCTGCCTCCCATAGCTGACCTCTCCCAAATTCTCTATACTTTCCTGTCTAGCAACCCCTTGCCCTCATGAAAAAACATTGATTACTTTCTTCACAGAATGCTAGTCTACCTCCTGGTCTCATCCTTACATCCAAGCATACTGCTTCCTCTGTTGCCTTCCCAGGTGAGGCTGCTTAGTCTCCCAACCTTACCTAAGAGATGGGAATGGGCTGGTGGGGAAAAGACTGGCTTCAGTGCCTATCTGCCACCTCACCACCTTCTGATCTTTAACCTTCATGCTAACCCACTTCTCAAGTAGATGCCTACTGTCTGCTAAACCTTGATATCTTACTCTTTTATTGCTGTACCCACATCTTTCCCTTTCATTCCTCTTCTATTGAAGAAGGCATCTTCTTCCTTTTTCTACATGAAGCATACCATTAAGTAATTTTAATATTTACACTAATGAACTGATCAACACCCTAGCCTTGAATTTCCTTTACTTCCTAAGTGCTAGGACCTCCCTATCTATTCTACTAGGACAACTCTTGACTATAGCTCTGTTCTTGTCTCTGCCTGTGTAACAGTATCACAAGGTCCCCTATGCCACCAACCACTCTTTGTCCAACTTACACCCATCTCTCACTACAGGACCCTTCAAACCAGTAGCCACTGCACTCCTTTTTCTCATGCATCAGCCCCTCCCTAGCATAACCACTCCCTGCAGTATTCTTAACTTTATCATGCTCCCAACTTTATAATTTGGATCCATTAGCCTCTGTGTCCTGGTTCTCACTTGGATTCTACAGATACAAAATAACTTAAATAGTTATCAGAGAAAAAGGTTTATGTAACCTTTATGCCATCTGTTCACAATAGCCAATAGGAATGTCTTGCCAACTCTACTCCCATCAACCAATACAAATGGTTATATACAGTCCTGGCACCATAAAAGCTTCATGCCAAAGTACATGCCACCCACTCCTCTTACATGTGATTTGGCACCTTCATAACAGATATAGAAACATAGTCAGCAACAGGTCATGGGTCAGGATTGCCAGGCCACCATCCAAGGGAAGCGCACATAAGGGGCACTAAAGCATCATGGTGCCAACTAATTTAGGTTTCCACACCCTACTCCTTACATTACTGGGCAAGCTAAACTACCCTTGTCCCCCAGAAGCTGATGAGCCCTGAGAGAAATAAACACCCTCTCTGCAAGTGCTAACCCTTGAATATGTTTGGCAATGTGCACATGAAGTCTCCACTGAAATTCTGAAACTAAATAATGCATAGCTGGTACAGCTTTCCAAAATCTATTAATTTAATTATTTGTATGGTTTCTACTCTGCCACCAGTTATCTGGTTTGACAAAAATCACATGAACACAAAAACTTTGAAATAAATGCTACAGAGATAAGGGTACATATGTGGTGTGTGTATGTATGTATATTCTTCTTCTCCAAATATTGACTTTACTCAGAACATTTGATAAGAGACTTTTTTTGGGAGAAAGATAACTAATTTTGAATTTATATACATGTTTTAATAACAAAGCATCTGATTTTCCCTGTCTATATAAATGTTGAACAAACATTTAAAGAATAATTAGAAGCAAGTAGCTCAGATGTATGCATCCCATATCAGAGTATTTGGCTTCTATTGTTGCCTCTGGCTCCTGACTCAGATTCCTGCCAATGAGGACCCTGGAAGGCAGAGGTGATTGTTCAAGTAACTGGGTCTCTGTCACTCATAGGAAACGGATGGTGTTCCTGGCTCCCAGCTTTAGCCTTGGCCCAGTCCTGGCCATTGCAGGCATTTGGGGAGTGAACCAGGAGATGGGTGCTCTCTTTCTCTCCCCCGCCCCAACCCTCCTCTAAATAATTTTTTAAATACAGAATAACTATACTTTTAAAAATACAGACAAATTAGTTTGAAGTTTCCAACACTTAGCCCCTTCACCAGTGTCAGTTGCTGGACATTTATGTGAAAGAAGTGGAAGATCCTGGGAATTCCGTTTAGTTTAACACGAATAGGTATTAGACACTCTGAAAAACCATTTGCTGAATGGCTGTCTTCCCAGCAGGAACTGCTTGGAACTAAAAGGCTTTAAGAGACCTGACCTGTTGGAAGCCCTACAAGCATTTGATTAGCAGGGTGAAGTGGAAGCCTGGGGTGGGGGGTGTTGGACCCACGCCCAACTGTTACATATAAGGACTGCTGGTATTTGCACCGGATTGCATGTGTGACTTCAGCAGATGGCAACTAAAAACTGGACCCAGTTCACATTGCTGAACTGCTTGGTAGATCACAGACTTGCAAGCACAGAGGGCTATGCAGAGGAAACAAAGCAGTAATTTCAGAAGAGAATCATGATTATTTTTGGAAATACATAAAGAATCCCTTCAGAACTGGAGTTTGGGCAGTCAATTTCTCTATGTATTCATCTATCTGTCAGGATATTATGATTTGAATGTCCCCCAAAGTTCAAGTATTGCAAACCTGGTCTTCTTATTTCACGGAATTATTTCTTTTCTCTTGCTTACACCTAATTCTTGCCTGTATTTCTGAAAGTTTTAGCTCCTCTCCCTAATGTCACCTATTGTCACCTTTCTTCTCTGACCTTTGGATTCCTCTCTTAATCCTGAGTTTGCCTTACCTAGGACAATAGACCAAGGATGGATTCACCAGTTAGGACTTCTCACTCTCAAGATGCCAAAGTCAGACTATTTTCCTCAAGGCAGCTCCCAGCCCTCGTAAGCCAGGTCCAGGAACAAAGAATTGAGGGATTTGAGGAATATGAAGGTAGAGGGAAGGCAGAATCAGAGAGAGGTGGCCAAGGATAACAAGACAAACCTTGTTAATCTTTAGAAGCTTGCCTGGAACTGGTCATGCCATCTTGTACTATTGTGGATAAATAAAAACGAAGGGGCCAGCACTGTGGCATAGTTGGTAAAGCCACCACCTGCAGTGTCAGCATCCCATATGGGCACTGGTTCAAGTCCCAGCTGCTCCACTTCTGATCCAGCTCTCTGCTATGGCCTGAGAAAGCAGTACAAGATGGTCCAAATCCTTGGGCCCCTGCACCCTTGTGGGAAACCCGGAAGAAGCTCCTGGCTCTTGGCTTCGGAACTGCCCAGCTCCAGCCATTGCAACAATTTGGGGAGTGAACCAGCAGATGGAAGACCTCTCTCT